TTCGTTGAGAGAGAGAGAATTTTCTAATAGTTAAAAATATTTTGGAAAAGAAAAGACCAGAAAAGGAGTTAAATGGGGACGTGTGTCAGCATGAGAACATTCCACCGAGAGCTCTCTAGTGATCAGGCCAGGTCCTGGACACAAGTGTTGCCTCACTGAGCACCTGGGCGCAGCCGGCTGTTTGACTCATATGGAATATGAATCATAAGGGATTATGAATTACTAGAAAGCCATTGTGTAGATGTTATTATTTATGTAGCACCAGAAATTCGAACAGGGCCCCCCAGAGGAGGATGTGCCAGACACCCTGCCTGGCGGATTGCTGGTCTCCATTCCTTGAAAGCCAAGCCCATATGCCCGGAGAAGCTTGTCTGCATGTCCAGTGTACGCACGTTAGCCTGCCCGCCTGGCATGAGCCTGAATGCCTGGTGTGCGCCTGCATTCCGGTGCCTGGGATGGGGGCATGTTCAGAAGTTTGCGTAAGTTAAAAAGGTGCAGAACTTCAGCTCCACCACACAAATCTCGGCCCCACACAGTGGGAACAGGCCAGTGGACTGTCTGTCTACAGACTCTGTGGCGACATCTGCTGTTACTGACTCAAGATTTGTTAACGAGTGTTTACTGAAAAGGAAATTGTGATGTGTGTGGTGTAGGACAGTATGTGTGCTCCTAGAGCAGTGAGGCTGGGAGGCTATCCTGAGGGTGACCTGGACAGAGCCCTGCTGGATGCAGGCAGGGACCTGCGCCTCTGCTGCTGGGGCTTCCCAGTCGGGGGCTGGTGTGCTGGCTGTCAACCCTGGGTGGGGTGACTTGTTTATTACCAGGCGGCCAGCCCACAGCCGCACCCTCCAGGGCTGCTCAGAGAGCCCCCCCACCCCCTGCATATTTTGTTTTGCCCTGATTTAGCCCAGAGGGCCTGGGCATGGAAGGCTGTGGGAAGGTGGCCCACTGCCCCGTCCAGAGTGGGAATCAGAACCAGGACGGTGCCTGCAGCGCTGTGTCAGCCTCTTCCCTCAAAACACAGTTAATTTAAAGTGGTGGGGTTTTTTTTGGCTGGGGCTGGTGGGTGGCAGGAGGAGATGGAAGGAGGCTGCTGAGCCAAGAATGCGACAGCCCCAGGACCGGCGCCTTTCTGCCTGTTGTCCCCTCTGGGCTGAGCCCGCAAGTGTGCAGTGCAGAAGGGAGCTTGGTCCCGGGGTGCTGCCTTCTGGGTGATGACACAGGGTGTGGGAAGGCCAGGGCTGGCCCTTCCAGGAACGGGAAGATTTCCTCCTCCGAAGGGAGGGATGAGTAGAAGCAGAACCACCTGCCCCACTGCCCTGAAGACGAGAGCTGGGAGGAAGCAGTGTTCTGTGGGTTCTTGAGAGTAAAGACATTTGATGATGGGGAGTCGGGGATCCCGAATTGTGTGTGTGAGTGTGTGTGCTTCCCTGAATCCTGGGACTTTTTCTGGCTGTAACTTTTTTGTTTTGCTGAGAGAATACCTCCTAGATTCCACTCTACCACATGATAGCAGTGTGACCTTGGGCAAGTTACTTGCCCACTAATCACTGTGCATCAGTTTCTTCATCTGCAAAATAGGGATAACAACAGTACTCACTTTGAAGGACTCTTGAAGATTAAATGAGTTATTACACATAAAGTGCTTGGAATAGTGTTTGGTACATTGCAAGAATTAAATTTTTTTCCAGGCTCTATTTATTATTAATTTATTCATTCATTCATTTGTTCATTTATTTATTTATTTATATTCTATCGTTGATGTAAAATCACATGAACAACATTGTGGTCACTAGATTCCCCCCACTATCAAGTCCTCACCACATATCCCATTACAGTCACTATCCATCAACATAGTAAGATGCAATAGAGTCACTACTTAGTTGTCTTCTCTGTGCTACACTGCCTTCCCCGAGCACCACCCCCACATTATGTGTGCTAATCGTAATGCCCCTTATTCCCCTTTCTCCCTCCCGTCCTACCCACCCTCCCCATCCCCTCCCTCCGGTAATTGCCAATCCACTCTTGGGTTCTGTAAGTCTGCTGCTGTTTTGTTCCTTCAGTTTTTGCCCTGTTCTTATGCTCCACAGATGAGTGAAATCATTTGGTACTTGTCTTTCTCTGCCTGGCTTATCTCACTGAGCATAATATCCCCCATCTATCCATGTTGTTGCAAATGGTAGGATTTGTTTTCTTCTTATGGCTGAATAATATTCCATTGTGTATATGTACCATCTCTTCTTTATCCATTCATCTACTGATGGACACTTAGGTTGCTTCCATTTCTTGGCTATTGTAAATAGTGCTGCGATAAATGTAGGGGTGCCTATGTCTTTTTGAAATTGGGATCCTACATTCTTAGGGTAAATTCCTAGGAGTG